TTTTATACTTCCATATTTTACATACACTGCAGTTCTCGGTCTTGGCTGCTTATTCTTTAATTCTTCATCAAACCCCAAACCAATTAAATCAGAATTTGGAAGTGGGCAAACTGAGTAGCAAAGCCAAATACAAAAATACCTCATTTATGGTTATATAAAATTCTAAGTCAGTGAGTTTTCCAAGTGACTAAATGTTAAGAATAAAAACTTTTTGCCAGGTGTGGTGGCTCATACCGGTAATCCCAACACTTTGGGAGGCCAAGGCAAGAGGATTGCTTAAGGCCAACAGTTTGAGAACAGCCTGGGCAACAAAGCAAGACCCTGTCTCTACAAAAAACTTCAAAAATTAGTTGGGTACCATGGCATGTGCCTGTAGTCCCAGCTACTCAGGAGGCTGAGGTGAGAGGATCACTTGAGCCCAGGAATTTGAGGTTGCAGTGAGCCATCATCTTGCCACTATACTCCAGCCTGGGAGACAGAGACTCTGTCTCAAGAAAATGAACAAAACAACTTTTAAAAATTCTAACTGCTTTATAAAAATGTTCCTGCTTTCTTAGAATATTCTTAATACTTATTTACTTTGTTGGTAAATAAATTCCCTATGAATGTCCATTCTTTTACTGTGTTTAATGGAGTGATGCCTGTCGGGGCTATCTTACACTTAATGGTCATATTTTGAGTTATAATTTATTCCTACCTAATTCCAGATGGATTTGAGAAAACTTCATAATATTGTTAGGCAAAATGATGGTAGATAATATTATTATTGTATAAATACTATAATCATAATGTCCTTATTCTGGTGTTAAACCCTGGAAAGGAAAATTTGTCTTGAGGCTTCTTAATTTAAGAAGTAACTGATGTTGCTGGATAAATCAGCATTACAAACCCATCAGTACAATGTATATATATTTTTTAAGTGTTGCAAACTCCCTTGCATATCGTAGTGCCTGTACCTGTTTTTGCCTCTTTCTGTTTTTTTTTTTTTCCCAAAAGGTTTTGTTTTTCAATCTGTAAGCAGCCTCCTCCAGGATTTATAAAAACAAAGAGGAAGTCAAAATCCTAGGCAACTCACAGCAATAGCCAAGATTTTTATTCAGTGTCTTAAAACCATTATAAAGGTTTTGAGAAATGAAAAAGTTGCAGGCATTCAAAATCATTGCACATTAATCACTATAATTTGTATTTTAGTATTTTATTTAGTATTGATCTTTGCTTTCAGATGGAGTAATTTTTAAAATAGATTAAAAATACCTGCTAAATATTAATGATTTTTGCTTTTAGATGGAGTAATTTTTGAAATGGACTAAAAATACCTGCTAAATATTGATGACAAAATGTACAGTTAGAACTGACTTAAATGATATAAACAGAAGTGACTTTACATAAACCAGTGAAGCTTATGTCTAAAGACCTTTATATGCATAGGCCTCTAAGGCCCCCTAGCAATTTTTTTTTTTTCTTTTGAGATGGAGTTTCACTCTTGTTGCCCAAGCTGGAGTGCAATTGCGCAATCTCAGCCCTTTGCAACCTCTGCCTTTCAGGTTCAAGCGATGCTCCTGCCTCAGCCTCCCAAGTAGCTGGGATTACAGGAATGCACCACCACACCCAGCTAATTTTGTATTCTTAGTAGACACAGGGTTTCACCATGTGGGTCAGGCTGGTCTCAAACTCCTGACCTCAAGTTATCTAACTGCCTTGGCCTCCCAAAGTGCTGGGATTACAAGCATGAGCCACCGTGCCCAGCCACCCCTAGTAATTTTGTACTCATAATTTTATATTCTTTTTTGTAAACAAGGGCCCTCAAATTGTGGGAAAGTAAGTTCTGAATTACAAGTCAAAAGAAAAAAGATAACATATTTTATCACATTTTATTCCTATTCACTTTATGCTTAAGAGCTATGATGTAATGTTCAATTAGATTTAGAAGTGATCTGAACACATGTTGCAAACTTGGGTTTTTAAATTTTTAACTGCTATTTAATAGCTTTTTTATTTTGGGGGGACAGTGTCTCACTCTGTCACCCAAGCTGGAGTGCAGTGGTGTGATCTTGGCTCAGCCTTCTGGGTTCAAGCAATTCTCATGTCTCAGCCTCCCAAGTAGCTGGGATTATATAAGTGTGTGCCACCATGCCTGGCTAATTTTTCCATTTTTAGTAGAGACTGGGTTTTGCCATGTTGGCCAGGCCGGTCTCGAACTGGCGTCAAGTGATCCGCCCTCCTCAGCCTCCCAAAGTGTTGGGGTTACAGGCGTGAGCCGTCGCGCCCAGCCCCCTAATAGCTCTTTACAGAAGTTTTATACTTCCATATTTTACATACACTGCAGTTCTCAGTCTTGGCTGCTTATTCTTTAATTCTTCATCAAACCCCAAACCAATTAAATCAGAATCTATGGGGCTGGAACCCAGATGTCAATATTTTTTAAAAAATCTCCCTAGGTTTCTAAAACATTGAGAACCAACCAGTACAGTATTCTATCCAATGTGGCAATTTTTCACCCAGTTTTCTGCAGTCTTCTTAACTTTCTCCACTCTCATTTGCCATCACCCACAATATTCATCATTTTGCTGTCAGGTAAAATATAGTTCTGTAGCCATCTCAATGGTGGCTATGTCTGTATGAGACCATAGAGCCAATAATTTTGATTGAAATTTCTGAGGAGCTGGTATGATTTAATTTATTGGTTGGTTAAATTATTTGACCAAATTGATTGTTTTGTATTGTTAGCACCACCAATCTTGAGAACAGGCACTATTATATCTTATGTTGAAAATGTAAAATTAATGTATTTAAGTCAGGACATACCCCTGTTGTTTTTTAGTTTAAGCTTAATATGAATCTTTGGAAAGCATTTTTTTCTGTCATGCACTCTTCTCTTCATATGACCATGTATTTCAACCGATAAATGGAAAACTAGTTTCAGCTAATAAAAATCTATTATACTTACTTGTAGGGCCATATTTTATTTTCTACCTAGTTATATTAAGTATGTCAAGATTTCAACTCCTGTGATTACCGAATACCTGAAGAGAGGCAGTACTCTAGTCTCAAGGGTCAAAAAATTAGATTATATTCCTAATGCTGACATTAATCAGCATTGAAACTATACATCATTTCACTGATCTTTGCCTCAGTTTCCTTAAAGTAAAACAAGGGAGACTAAAGTCATTCCATGTTCTAACTTAAACAGAAATGCTATGATTTTCACTCTTCACATATTTTCATTCTTTGTTACTTCAAAGCCAGTTATCCTAAAACTCATTTTAAAACTGTGCTTAAAAATCAGAGTTCATAAATCTCTTATTTTTTTCCTTGGGGTATGTAATTCATGTTACGCTAAATCTTGTTTCAACTCTTTGATAGTGAAATCTTTTTTTTTTAAGTTCTATTTAGCTGGAACATGTTTAATCTATCCTATTTTATCAATCACACATGTAAAGATAACCTTCAGATATTGATAAAAGCAGACAACTGCTTACAAAAAACCTCAGTATCCTCTTCCCTCCATACCCAAATTATAGAACACGAGCATTTCCAATGCAAAAGTGCACTTCTAAACAGTAAGAGTATACTTGCTGTAATTTGGCTCAAAATTATTAATATTGCAGCTTCACCACTAAGAAACTCAACGTCTTCCCTCATATTTGTACTGTACTCTTCACAAGACTTGTCTAAGTAGTCTTTAGTTTGATAGGCTTTTAATTTTTAATGCTTGTTGCTTTCTTGGATTTGTAGAATGTCTGTTTTAAAGAACTTTAAAATTTTGCTCAAAACTTGTCATTCTGTTTCAGGAGAGCATAGAATGGGGGTTCAACACCTCAGCAATGCCCTTTTAGTGTGTGGGCAACCACAGGAACTTCTGAAGGTTTTCAAACACACACTCCCTCCCAAGGTATTTGAGATGCTGTTGCACAAAATTCCCCTTATTTGCCAGGTGAGCACATATTTAATTATCTTTGTGAAATGTACACAGTAAATAGCTATGTTATGCTTGACTACACAGAAATATCAAAGTATGTGTGTGAATTGCCCAGAATCTTAAATAAGTGAAATCTCTGACTTTTTGGCTGCTTTAACATGAAGCAAGCCTATTCTTTCAGGTTCCTTTGATTATAATAAATTGTATATTTTCTTGAGTATTATCTGTATTTCAACACTTCAGTTTTAAAGCAGAACAATACTTCTACTTCCATTAACATACAAAACATAAAAATCGCTTTGGTAAATTTAAACATACAGGCTAATTAGCATTCTCTTAAATATAGGTTTAAAATGGTATCGAATGAAATCCATTCATAAGCCAGTTGATTAGTAAGTTTTAGTCCACTTGCATTTTACTAAACTACTTGGTATACATATGCATCAACTAGAATTTCCTGCAAATGCTTGGATTCATTTCAGGATTCATTAGCCATAAGACATTACTTTGGTTCACTTTTTATCATTGGCAAGCCTTGGAATCTATCATATTTAACTGTCAGCTTTTGAAAAAAACACAAACATGAACTCCATTACAGTGTAACATTCAACTCTTAAACATTCCCAAACTAGGGCAGATGGGATGGTTTCCTGAAGATATATGAAAATGTAGGTAATATAAGAATATGTGGCCGGGCACAGTGGCTGATGCCTGTAATCCTAGCACTTTGGGAGGCTGAGGTGGGCGGATCACTGGAGGTCAGGAGTTTGACACTAGCCTGACCAACATGGTGAAACCCCATCTCTACTAAAAATACAAAAATTAGCCAGGCATGGTGGCACACACCTGTAATCCCAGTTACTTGGGAGGCTGAGGCAGGAGAATTGCTTGAACCTGGGAGGTGGAGGTTGCAGTAAGCCAAGATCGCACCATTGCACTCCATCCTGGGTGACGAAAGCAAAACTCCATCTCAAAAAAAAAAAAAAAGGAATAATGCCCACCCTGACACAAGGGAGGCAAGAAAAGGACCGTGCATTGAAATGATTAGCAAGTAACTGTTTTATGTATTCACCAGCAATTTGAGGCAGACATGAATGAACAGGAATGCTTGGAGGATGATCCTGATTGAAAAACATTTCAACGTATCCACAGCCCAGTGAGAATACTATGGTACCATACAGTATAAACAACTGCTCAGTGATATTTCCATTTATTTTACTTTTAGTAATAAAAATTTGTCTATCTCATACATGATTGAACACATAAGTTGCTTTAAAATTAACAGTCACAATTGAAGAAACAATGGTTTATTTTTCTAATCAAGTGACCAAGTTGCTGAATCATAAGGCCTCAACAAATGTTGCATCTTATTATTTCATTGAACAATAAGACCTTCTAGTTTGATTATTCCTGGTAAATAGCAATTTTGTTTCTCCAGTGGTTTCCATTTGCCAAAGTCATGACAGATGGTTTAACATTGTGGCTACTGCTTTCAGGGGATTCTATCAGATGAGTCCTCATTTCCAATAAAGCAGCTGTTGGCAATCTTTCATCAAAAGTTCATCCATCAGGACTTCTCTATCGTGGTTGGCCAAGGAGTCCTGCTTTGGCTGCCAGGGCTTCATTCTGCTGAATATGATATTCCTGAAATCTCATGGATATTCTTTGTGTCATTTTTAAATATTTCTGTAAGCAATGTTCTGAACAGGTGGTCTAGGAATGAAAAGGGAAGATCCAAGAGGCAACACAAAAATATGAATTTTTAAAAATGCATGTATTCTAAAAGAACAGTGTGTAGTTTGCTTTTCTATATCTGAGAATTAAATAGTATTAATTGGCAGCAACTGACCATAGCTTTTAATTGATACTTTCATCCACTGACAAGCATTAATATATACCGAATGCCTGCCAGTTTGTAGTCACTAAGAGCAATGGTAAATCTCTGCTTTCAAGAAGCTTCTGGACTAGATTTTCTGCAAGTGTATTAAGTGAAAGCCCACATTCCTATCCTCTTGTTTCGACTGTTAAAATGTAGACCCAGTAGTAAGTTTGTTCCTTTTTAATGAGAAACAACATTCTTAATTCTCACCCTTTTACTTTTTATTTATTTAATTAATTTATTTTTTGAGATGGAGTCTCACTCTGTCACCCAGGCTGGAGTGCAGCGGCGTGATCTCGGCTCACTGCAAGCTCTGCCTCCTGGGTTCAGGCCATTCTCCTGCCTCAGCCTCCTGAGTAGCTGGGACTACAGGTGCCTGCCACCATGCCTGGCTAATTTTTTGTATTTTTAGTAGAGACGGGGTTTCACTGTGTTAGCCAGGATGGTCTTGATCTCCTGACCTCGTGATCCGCCCACCTTGGCCTCCCAAAGTGCTGGGATTACAGGCATGAGCCACTGTGCCTGGCCTATTTATTTTTTTGAGACAGGTTCTCTCTCTGTTGCCCAGGGTGGAGTGCAGTGGCTTACTGCGGCCTCAACCTCCTGGACTTAAGTTATCCTCCTACCTTAGTCCCTGGAGTAGCTGAGACCACAGGCACACACTACCATGCCTGGCTAGTATTTCATTTTATTTTTTAGTAGAGACGAGGACTGGTTTTTTTGTTTTTGTTTTTGTTGACAGGGTCTTGCTCCGTCGCCCAGGCTAGAGTGCAGTGGTGCAATCACAGCTCACTGCAGCCTCTGCCTCCCAGGCTCAGGTGACCCTCTCACCTCAGCTCCTGAGTAGCTGGGACCACAAGCATGTGCCAACATGTCCAGGTAATTTTTTTTTTTTTTTGTATTTTTTGTAAAGACAGCGTTTCACCATGTTGCTGAGGCTGGTTTCGAACTCCTGGGTTCAAGTGATCCACCTGCCTTGGCCTCCCAAAGTGCTGGGAGTTCAAAGTTACAGGGAGCTATGATTATGCCATTGCACTCCAGCCTGGGTGACAGAGCAAGACCCTGTCTTAGAAAAAAAAAGTTAAGACTTCTAATAGGATTAGGTTTTCAATATGAGCCATCAAAGTCAAGCTTTGCTTTTTCCAAAGCCAACCAGAATTCCCAGGGCCATACAGAAAGGCTGTGCCAAGTTTCTCTAGGTAGGCCATCTTGACTGAAAGCTAATTAGTAAGAATCTTTGTTGTGAAACAGTAACTCAGCAGCTGCAGCCATCTTCTCTAAAATGGTCTGACTTGGTACAATGTAACTATCATATTAAATTTGGCACTGTTAAACTCAATGCCGTGGTTCAGTGGCTGCTTCAGTTCTTCTAAGCAATGGAACATAAAAGGTAGTCTAAATTCCTGTAATAAGTAGGAACAAGTGAAATGCTACTTATAGTGTTTATGACAGGCCTGGAGAATTTCAGTGAGTAACACTTTTCATACCTCTTCAGGTTTTACTTCTCTTGTTGTGAAGTCTTTAACACAGTCCAAAAAGCAGGTCTCTGTAAGTTTATTGTAGGTCCCCAGAAATTCCTTAAACTACAAACAAACCAGAATGTTCTTTACTATTTGGTTTTTAAAACAAAGAGGCTTTGAAACTTCAATTACTAGTATTTTATATTTAGACAAAATATACTATAACACTTGAAATCATAGTTATGCTACTTAAATGGGTACAATATGATCTACAGAACAGTTTTATTTTCTAGTTGAATATTTAATTTTTTCTTGATTATCAGTCAAATGAAAAATACATATGCTTGCCTGGGCGCGGTGGCTCATGCCTGTAATCCCAGCACTTTGGGAGGCTGAGGTAGGCGGATTACCTGAGGTCAGGAGTTTGAGACCAGCCTGGCCAACATGGTGAAACCCCGTCTCTAATAAAAATACAAAAATTAGCTGGGCGTGGTGGCATATGCCTGTAATCCCAGCTACTCGGGAGGCTAAGGCAGGAGAATTGCTTGGGCTCAGGAGATGGAGGTTGCCATGAGCCAAGATTGTGCCACTGCACTCCAGCCTGGCCGATAGAGCAAGACTGTCTCAAAAAAAAAAAAAAAAAAAAAAAAAAAAGAAAAGAAAAAGAAAAATACACACACTTTATAACATTTAATATCCATTCTGGAAATGAAATAGAAACAATTGTTTTGTGAAACCACTGACTGACATGTTTTTGTTTTTGTTTTTTTGAGATGGAGTCTTGCTCTGTTGCCCAGGCTGGAGTGCAATGGCGCAATCTCGGCTCACTGCAGCGTCTGCCTCCTGGGTCAAGCAATTCCCGTGCCTCAGCCTCCCAAGTATGCTGCGACTAGAGGTGTGCGCCAGCACGCCCAGCTAATTTTTGTATTTTTAGGAGATGGGAGTTTCACCACGTTGGCCAGGCTGGTCTTGCCTGACTTCAAGTGATCCACCCATTGGGGCCTCCCAATATGCTGGGATTACAGATGTGAGCCACTGCACCCAACCTGACACAGTGGCATTAATAGCATCTTACATTTTTTTGCAAAATATTTTCCCCTTATTAAGAATACCTTACCTGTTTTATCTGATCAGATTCTGGTATTTGTGCAGCCATATTCTTCTGGTATCTTTATTAGTCACCTAATTTAAAAATTCAAAAAAAAGTTTGTCAATCTATAAACAGATGTTTTTAGTCTAACTGAAGTTAGGGAATCACTGCTCATATTTTATAAATCTGTGTATGTAACTGTATGGCACCCCCAATTTCTCAGATCATTAATGACCATAGAACCTTATAATTGAGAATTAGATTTTTTTTTTTTTGAGACAGAGTCTCACTCTGTCACCAGGCTGGAGCACAGTGGCATGATCTCGGCTCACTGCAACCTCCACCTCCGGGTTCAAGCAATTCTCCTGCCTCAGCCTCCCAAGTAGCTGGGACTACAGGTGCACACCACCACACCCAGCTAATTTTTGTATTTTTAGTAGAGATGGGGTTTCACCCATGTTGGCCAGGATGGTCTCGATCTCTTAACCTCGTGATCCGCCCGCCTCGGCTTCCCAAAGTGCTGAGATTACAGGCATGAGCCACTGCGCCCGGCCAGAGAATTATATTTTCTAATGCTAGTTTGGGACTCAAAGGCCCTGTCTCTCGAAATCTCCAATTTTAAGATAGTTTGCTCTGCTACCTTGCTAAGCTACTTGTTTAAAGCCCCATTCCTAGGAGGATTATAAAGGAAACCAAGATGGTGAGGTTTGGGCTTAAAAAAAAACAATAAAAAAAGCTGGGAGTGGTGGCTCACGCCTGTAATCCCAGCACTTTGGGAGGCCGAGGCGAGTGGATCACTTGAGATCAGGAGTTCAAAACCAGCCTGGCCAACACAGTGAAACCCTATCTCTACTAAAAATACAAAAATTGGCCAGACGTGATGGCATATGCCTGTGGTCCCAGCTACTCGGGAAGCTGAGGCAGGAGAATCACTTGAACTCAGAATGTTGAGGTTACAGTGAGCCGAGATCACGCCACTGCAATAGAGCCTGGGTGACAAAGTAGGACTCCATCTCAAATAGTAATAATAATAATAGTAATAATAATAAAGAAAAATAAAGCAAATCGAGATTTTTGCTGTTTTCATAAAATTACTTAACTATTCCACTAGTCACCAATTTGCTTATTTTAAATTTTTTACTATTATACTTAATCGAATATATCAAAAATATCAAAAATTTTCACATTTCAACATGCAATCAACATAAAAAGTATTAATAAGACATTTTACATTCCTTTTCTTGTAGTAAGTCTTTGATTTTGGTGAGCATTTTACACTTATACCACATCTCAATTTGAATGCTAAATTTTCATCACAAATACTTGGCCTATATTTAGGTTTGATAAAATCTATAGTTGAAAAAGTGGATTCACATATCTGAGCCACTCCAAATACACTTAAAATTAGTTGCTAATTTAACTCTGACCCTTACTACTAATGATCCTTTTACAATATAAATACAAACGTTCTATTAATAGTTAACAAACACCAGTTAACAAACACCATTTGCTTAGAAATAGACAACCCTCATGAAAGATATTCAGAGTTTTAAAAGAAAGTTATAGGAATTATACATTCTACTACACATTCTATAGTTCAGAAAGGGCAATCACAGAGACTAATCAGAAACTTCTAATTATAATCTAACCTAGCGGCAACAGGGAAGAGAAGATAAGTAAGTAAAAAAGCCTTTCTGAATTACTGAG